GCCAATGAACTCCAATCTGCAAGTCAGACAGCAAGCTGCTGGTTGACATAGCTGGGACTGGAGGTGAGAGGACAATGAGTGAAAAGTAAGCTGCAGAGGGGGTGAGCTGTGTCAGACCATCCACATGTATTGGCTGTGGACCACACACCGAAAATGGAGGATAATTACATCATACTGTGAATCTAGCCAACTTGACATGTTACATTAACCATCACGGCTATTTTTTTTAAAAAAGTAACTCCAATCCCAACAATTCAGAAATGAAAGCAATCAGGAATTTATACAAGTTGTGCAAATCCCAAAACAATGTTGCTGTTCACTGCCACTGAAGGGTACTTCATAAGCATGAAATACTGAACAAGCTCTTACATGTCTTGATCATCCGTTCACCCCTCATCTGTGGCATTTAAAGATTCCTCTGGACCAGTGGGCTGGTTTACAAAATCAGGACTAAGGAGAGAGCTCTCTGTTGCCTCTCCTCTCCAAGGGGGTCTTAGGAACCACCAAGCTAACATGACAGGGTTTTAAGTGTGGGGAATAGTGTCACCCCCACTGCCTGACCGTGACCCCACAACTGATAGTAAGTCCAGTAAGTGGAACTGTTTCGGAACTTCTCAGCAAGTACAATATGGCCATGGGCAAGGCCTTCTGCATTGACTGGGAATAAGCCTTGGACTACAGAAAGCAAAACAGAAGCAAGGGAAACCACATCTTCCCTTACCAGCCAGAAAGGAAACCATTATTTATTTACAAGTAAGCCGTGTACCCAGTCGGGCACCCAGCCCTGCACCAAACACGAGAGACTACAGTGGTACAGACACAGTTGGGGCCCCTGTCCTCCAGAAGCAGGGCACCATTCTCCTCTGGAGGCCGGTCATGGACTCAGGTGCACCACAGCTGTTTTGTGGGAGAAGCAGGTTTTGTAGGAAACACACACGTCGTTGAACTTGAGATCTCAGCCCCATTGCACAGATGGCCTGACCAGAGATCTCTCCCCCAGTGACCTTCCCAGGAAGGTCAGCTCCAGTCCCCTGGCTCTTCTCTCCTGTCAGCAGCCCCAGGACTCTGGGCTGGATCTCAGCCCTGACTGTGTTCCTGGAGGCTGGGGGAGGTGGCTCCTAAGTGAAGTGACCTCTGAGCCTGGGGCTGTGCCATCTGCTGAGGGCAGTGAAACGGCTGGGCTCATCCAGTACCTCTTTGTGGTCTTGGGTCTACAAGGAAGCCTTGAGTGCTGACGGGGGTGGGAGTGGGGTGGGGGAGGGTGGCTATATGTGGGAGCCCAGATCCAAACGAATGAGCTGGCTCTGTGGAAAGCTCAGAGTAACTTCAACCGGGAGCTTCTGGAAAAAGAGTCACCTTGGGCCTCCTTTCCTTAGGGACGGCGTGGAGATCCCGGACCCCCAGGAGACAAAGGGGTTGCAGGGTGTCCAGGGGAAATAGGTCCAAAGGTAAGGCTTTCCTGGAAATGTTCTTTTACATTCAGTACAACACCCTTCCCTCTCATTTCCGTTCTTTCTCTCCCACGTGCTCTCTGCCCACCACCCGCTCTTCTGCCTCTTCCTCCAATTAGATCTATTCTTTCCTTCAGCCAAAGATGAGTTAGGCTTCTTGGGAGCCTGAAAGATTTTGAGCATGGATTACATGCCACCTATAACCTCTTTGTAGCCACATGGGCAGAAGGGGATAGAAACATAGTCACTCACTTTTAACTCCATCTCCTGTGCTATCTCGTCTTTTGCAGGGAATCAAAGGATATTCTGGAAATAAGGTACTGTAGTTTGTCCCCGGTCCAATTTGATTCGCCAATGGCACCC